GCTTGGCATATCGCGTAATAATAGCTATGCCTCTAGCTCCAGCTCCTCCCCAGGACCCTCCGCCGCCGCCACCACCTTGTACCCACTTCAGATGGGGCCGCGGGCACTTGGCAGGCCGCACTTAGCGTAGTCGTTGTTGTTGTTGCTGTTGCTGTTGTTGCTGTTGCTGTTGTCGTTTTGTTTGATAACATCGTCTAGCAACGTGTCTGGCAACCCGTGTGACGTAAGCCCCACTCAACCACCCACTCCGACCCACCCACCAGCTCATGCATGCATTGTGAACTCTCTCTCTGTCTCTGTCGCTCTCTAGGACGCCTTTGGCATAATCAGTTGCAAAAATTTGACACGCCGAACATTGGCAGGAGTAAAAAGCGTGCGTGGGTCCCCGTCTGCCTTTTGCGCCATTTTGCTCGTGTACGTGTATGGGAGATGGAATATGGATGTGTCTGTGTGTGCGTTATTTGCATATCTGTTTTTGATTTTTGTCGCTCATGGCGTCTATTCAATTTGACGTGCCGCTCGGTTGCTCAGCAGCCAACCAACGCCTCGCCATGCCTCGCCTCTCGTCCAATGAAATCAATAAATCTGCTCCACTGTTTGAATCCAATTTATCACTTTGCAGCAACAGCCCCCCCTCCTCCCTTTTTTTTTTGCGTGCAGCGACACGCCCACAGACGCGGCTTATCCGTCAACGATGTGCATACAAGTTTATTATTAGGACCGCGGCTGCTGTGCCGCCGCCGTGCCGCCGTGCCTCCCTGCCGCCGTGCCTCCCTGCCTTTGTGCCTCCCTGCCGCTTTGCCCTGATGTGTGATGTGGGGCGTGGGGCATTAATGGCCCCGGCAATTCCTTTTGCCAACCGTATGCTCAACAGTGTGCGTGCGTGTGCCTCTTGGCTGCCACTGGCTACCCTGTCAGTCCTTGGCTGCCTGCCTCAGTCAATAATGAAATTTAGCGAAATACTCGCGCACACAAAAGACGCGTTCGAGTCCTGCGGCGTTTGGATTTTCCCGGGACAGCGGCAGCGGCAGCGGCTTTGCATATTTTACAGCGCCATCGAGCCATGTGCCGAAATGTTTTGTGCGCGCTTAAATTGCGGAAGTGATAAACAGGCGGCGGCTCCGGTCCAGGAAGCATTTTAATATTTGAAGTTTTTACTCAACGCACAAGCAAGATCTTGTGCTTTACGAGCAGGTCCCCCCCATGCCCCATGCCCCACGCCCCATGCCCCTCACTCCGGCTAGACAATGTTCTGCGGCGTTTCTTTGATAATGAAATGAAATAAAGACCGAAAAAAGAAACACAATTGTTGTTTATTTTTTTTTACATTAAATATATTTAGATGGTTTTCCTTTTCAAAATTGTTTTCTGGGTTTCTGTCGAGTGACCCCAAAACGGAGCGGCAGACGCATGCAGTACGGGACGGGTTCGGGGGGACGGAGAGGAGGCGGCGGCAGGCAATTGCCAGTAAAAGTAAATGTTAAGCAAAATATTGCAGTTGGAATGTGTTCTGGTTACTGCACCACTTCCTCCCGCCGCTCCTCCTCCTCCTCCTCCGCTGCCTCCCGCCTACCGCTTGATGCGTCCGCCCCAATAACGTTTTGGTGACCCCGCACTTTGGGTGGTTTTTGTTTTTGTTTGGGGGACATTTCTGTACGGGTTTTCAATTTAGCAAACGTCTTATATCAAGTACATTTATATTTTCGGTTATACATTATTTGCTGCTGCTGCTGCATCGCTCTGTTCGCTCTGCTCCGCTCTGTTTTGTTCTTTTCTGTGTACATTAAAGTTTAAAATAATTAAGTAAGCTACATTTAGTTGTTTAATATTTAAAATTACTATACTCGCTGCTGACTACCTCTCGATGTTTCCTTCCTTCCTTCCATGCGCCTTCCGAATCGCACAAGAGATTAAAACCAATGCAAATGCAACCAACAAAAGGGAAAACAATCTCTATCTTTAGGCAAACACATACGTACAAATGTATCTTAGAGGAACACAAAAATTTCTTTGGTTTAAAATTTCACGAAATCTTACCGACTAAATATTAAATAAATCTTTCGTTTTTTTTTTTGTGGTTTTTTTTTTGTTTTTGTTTTTTTATTACAAGCATTTAATGCATTAGAATAGAGTGAGGCGTAAATCATTTGAATCATTCGCTCGACTCCTGTAGGCATTCGCTGTGGGAGGCAGCTGAAGCTTCGGCATTCAATCGGTTCAATCATGATCAAGCTTCAGCTTCAGCCTAAAAAAAAAAAAAAGAGTGACTGTGCTCTGCTTAAACTAGAAGTTTACTTAGATTTCACTTTCCATTCACTGGGTTCTCCCTTTTCAACCGAAACTTTTGCATTCACACGCCAATCAATCGGTTCAATCATGATCACTGATCACTGATCAAATGAGTATACGACAGAAGAGAGTATCATCTTTCAGCTTCAAAAAAAAAAGACCTTAGCCTAGAAGTTTACTTAGATTTCACTTTTTTTTCAGTGGTTTTTTTTACTTTTTTGTTACTTTACCTTTTTTGTGTGGGACTAGGGAAGGGTATGGGGACAGGGGCACGGGTGGGGGTGGGGGTTGTGTGTAGTGTGTTTAGTTTCTCTTAAGAGCTAAAAAAAACACTAAATACATTTATCCTTAGATCCATTTACTTAAAATACTTTTATGTTTTTTCTCATTTATTTCTTGAATTCGCTTTCGTTTCCACAAGCTCCTCCTCTCTGGCCGCCTGCTTTCTATGCTTTTGCTGTGTCGGTTTCTGTGTGTTTTCTGGGCTGGGGTTTTTCCGGCTGCTTTTCTTTTCTTTACTCTGCTTTTGCTCTTGCTTTTCACTTATCTGCTGATTGTCCACTAAAACTATGCTTGCTCCTTTTATGCTCCTTGCGTTCTACTTGTTTCTGTATCTCTGGTCTCTGCTTCTCTGCTTCTCTACTCTTTTTTCGAGAGGAGTTTTTGAATGCAATATTTTGTTCTCTTTTTATTTTTATTTGTATTTTGGTTTTGTTTTTGTTGCTTATTTTTACTTTACTCTCATTGGTTTGTTTTTTTTTTTTTTGTTGTTTATGAATTTTTAAACACATTAATCAAAATATTTGTATTTTCTTGTGGCTTTTTCATATCAATTTATAAATCATAGTTTTGTGCATAAGTAATTGTATAAATAAGTAATAAATTGTCAAATAAATATGCAGTAATATGCATTTAAATACCAAACTCGAATGCACGACGGATCTGTCATTCGTTTTGCGTTTTTCGGTTTTCTATTTTTGCATTTTCACTGCTCTTTTCCTCCGTTCGCGCGCTCCTGTCTGTATCTGTGTCTGTGTGTGTGTGTGTGTGTGTGTGTTTGTGTGCTTTCCCATATACATATACATATACATATAAATGGCATTACCCTTTCCTTTTCCCCTAGCTGTTTGCATTCATTATGCAATTACAAAAAAAAAAAAAATTAAACATACAATACAGTACAGTATTCCTTTTTCGGTTTATATATATATATATATATATTTTATATATTTCATATATGTATGTATGTTTTTTTTTTCTTTTTTTTTTCTTGTTGTTGTTGTATATATTAGCATAATTTACCTTTATATATTCAGTCTTAAGCTACAAAAATCGTTATGCATATTTCTGTTTTTTTTTCTTTCAGTTTTATTTTTTTTGTTTTGGTTTCGGGACTTCTTTTTTTTTACCTTTTATATTTAATTTCAAACTATTCAAATGAGTTTTATATAAATTCGCAATGTGTGTGTGTGTGTTTGGTTTTTTTTTTTTTCTTATTTCCACTCGTATTTTTATTTTTCTTGATTTCCATTCGAATCGATTCGGGGTTTCTGTGTGGTGCAAGCAAAAGTAAAAGTGAAGCAGAAAATATGTAGTTTCCCTCCCCCCCCCAACTCTCTGAGGGGGTGGGGTGCAGTGGGGTGGGTTGGGGTGTGGGGGTGTGGGGAAAATTTAGGCGACAGTTTTTAGGGATAGCAAAGCAAAGCACTTACACACTAAAAAGCAGACTCTTAAATCCTAATGAGAACTGGACCCTCAGTGCGTTGCCAGCAGGGTCTTCTATTACACTTATCGGTTATCGGTTATCGGCTATCGGTTATCAACTATCGACTATCAGCTAATCTGTCTGCCATCTGTCTATCGAGTTGCAACTTTCAGCGGTTTCTGCGTTTATCTTACAGGCATGCCTCTTCTTTCTTTTCTGCCACACTGCCACTGCCACTCTGTCTCTGTCTCTGTCTCCTACCCTAAGACGTTTAGCGCTTTCCAAGTTTCACTGTACTTGTGTTTTACTGTTGAACGAGTAGTACATTGATCAAGTAAACGAAATAATGCATGGCTATATCTCTGTTAAACTATATCTATGTAGTAGAGTGTATCTATGTATCTTTTGGTTTTTCTGTTTTTTCTTCTGTGGTTTTTTTTTTCATAGTTTTTAGTTAGAGTTTTTCTCTCTTTAAATGAAACGCCAGTTTGCTCGGAGGTTCAATCAATCAATCAATCAGTTTCAGTTTCGGTTTCGGTATCGGTTTCGGTTTCGTAGAAGTTTCTGCTTTTATGGGATTCTCTGTTGCTGTTGGGTTTTTCTGTTGCTGTTGCTGTTCCTAAAGTTTTTGGAGCTCAAGTTTTTCTAGTTTTAGGATCGAAAGTCGAGAGTAGTCGTAACATTACAGCTAACATTAGCTAGGATTATAGTAGTAGGTTTTCTTCAATCGAATTTTGTTTTCGTTTTTTTACATACATATTTACAAGACGTTTGTTTGCTCATTAGGCTTATATCGCTCGTGTTTCATGAAGCTCGTTTCCAAAGGGTTATTTGCGTTTACTCCTCCTCCTCCTCCTCCTCCTCCTCCTCCTTCTCCTCCTCCTGCTACTCCACCTGCTCCTCCTCCTCCACACCGAAGATGAAGGCTCTCGAGTATGTACAATGAATAACCAAACCGAATGCAGAATACAGAAGCGTTCGCGAACGAGCAGAGTTCGTGGCCAAATCAACCCCGACTGACCGCCACCGCGAGCAGGCAGAGGAGGATCAGTCCCGAGAGCAGGTCCTGCCGCGGGGCACCGCTCAACGGCGAGTCCTGGACATTGCTGCGCACATCCATGAGATCGCGCGACAGGGGCAGCTCGGTGGGATCGCTCAGCTCGTCGTGGCAGGGCAGCATCTCGGGCTTCAGCAGGAAGAGTCGCACATTGATCGTGTTCTTGTTGGCGAGGGCGTCGAGCGAGTCGCCGCCACTGGTGGGCGACTGGTGTGGTCCCATCAGCACCTCCACATCGTTGTGATTCGTTCCGGTGGCCGTGCCGGGGCTGTAGAAGGAGCCGCCCTGCTTGTGCAGATTCAGATTGTCGTCCAGATCGTGGCCCAGAGCCAGTCCCAGTCCCCCGTTGACGTCGTCGTAGTAGTCGTACCGCTTGTGGGTGGGCGCCACTGCAGCCAGCTGCCCCTTGGCCAGCTCCAGCTCCAGCTCCTGCTGCTGCTGCTTCTCCTGCTGCCGCTTGCGTCGCATCTTGCCCTCGACGACATTCTCGGCCGTGAACTGGCGCTGTCCGCGCAAGGCCTGGCGGGACTTGCTCGATGAGTGCTTCCGGGAGGATCCGCCGATGCTCAGGTCGTCCAGGCTGCTGTAGCTGCTGCCCACCACACTGTTGCCGATGCCGCCCATGCTGGCGCTGTTCGTGCCGATGGCCGTGAAGCCGCCCACGTTCAACGCGTCCAGGATGTTCGGGGGCACTGGGTCCACGAAATGCGACAGCTTCGGCTCCGGCAGCGAGCAGAGGAGCTCGTCCAGAGAGTCACGCAGCTGCAGGTGACGTGTGCGATTTTTCAATTCAAAGATCCATTGTAGACGACAGTCGCAAATGAATTTGTTGTCTGTTCAGAGGGAAGATACGAAGGGAAGAAAAAAGATTGGGGGGGGGGGTTAGCTTCGATTTATATTGCAGGCGCACACATTGACAGCTCTCCCCGACTGCTGTCCGACGCTGCTGCTGTCTGTCTGTCTGCATTCTGTGCTTCCCATGAAATTGCTTTTGTCGTCAGCTGCCCCTGCCCCCTGCCCCTGCCCCTGCCCCCTGTCTGCGCCGTGTGGCAGGTGATAGCGCACCCTAGACAAGGCCCAGCTAGCTGCTAAGTGGCCGAGACTGCAACAATTGGCTGTCATTTGATGGCCAATTTTGCCCAGCTCCATCTCCATCTCCAGCTCCGACTCCATCTTCAGCTTCGATGAGTTCTGCCTGCCTGGCCGTTTTAAATGATTTTCCCCTGCCAATCGACAATCGGCAAATCGAAGCTGCAGTTTTCGGAGTCGGAGATGTCATTGGGACTGGCTGCTGCTGCTCCACGTTAAACGCCTCAATGACATTTCCAATTTGGACAGATATATCCCCCCGCAGTCCGGGATGGAGTACCTCCAGACCCCGTCTGTCATTCAGCTGGACGTCCCAGACTCCAGCCACCACCCACCTCCCACTCTGTTGTCAATTATTTTGTAGTCTGTCTGGCAGTCTGGCCATGCGTTCCCTTTCAATTTGCTGTTTCGTTTAGTGGCGGAGTTTGCCTCTCAAATTGAGCGGATAAACAAGTGCCGGAGTGCCATACTGCCATAGTGCCGGAGTGCCATACTGCCGGAGTGCCAGAGTGCCGGGTAGTGGTTTCTAATCACCGACAATGCTGTAATGAATAAATCAAATTACGATTCAATGAGTTTTCCCAAGGAAACTTCTTCCCGTTGTACCATTTTCCCCCATTTCGGGTAGAGGCAGGATAATGAGCCCAATCGAGAGCGGAGCGGAGGGTTTACTGACCTTCTCTATCGAGCATACATCTCTCTCTGTCTCTGTCTCTGTCTCTGGGGTATAATTAGGCCCCAAACACACTCTAACTGTGTGTGACACAGTTTACCATGTCAGCATGTCAGCATGTCGCATAATTAGCATAAACGTTACGAAAAATATTGACTAACACAGAGACAGAGAGAGAGAGAGAGGCAGGGGCAGAGCGAGAGAGGGATAGAACACACACACACACACACATATATGGGACTAGCGGCTGGGATTCTTGCAACATCGTTATCAATGCACACACACACACACACACACACACACACACAAATGGACACAAAGGATGGTGGAGCTACTCCAGATTCAGTCAGCCAATTGAGTTGGCATATGAGCCAGGACCCATCGCCGCCCCTCCACCACCCCCTTTTCACCCACTCCTCCTTTTGGCTACAATGACAATAATAATCCGTGGCATATTTTTGTAGCAAAGCCAAAAGTTTCCCTCCCCCCCCCCCCCCCCCACCGTCCTGCCGCCTTCAACAAATGACAAAAGGAAAACTTTTCCTTTAACCCCCCCCCCCCCATCGCCCATCCACCAGCCTACGAAAAATAGTTGGCAAATTAGTGCGGGGCTGAAAGGGGGGAGGGGCGAGCGGGGAAGGGACAAAACCCAGACATTGTCGAGGCTGAGGGACCAAGGAAATGGCAAGACAAAGTCAAAAATTCTAATTTTCCATATGAAAGCATGCAAAAACCATAAATAAAGTTAAATATGCATACAGACAGAGGCAGAGACAGAGACAGCAAGAGAGAGGGACAGAGAGAGGGAGAGAGAGCGCCAGAGACTCTTAGAGGCAAAGTCCGGAAAAATATTGGGTGGAAAATGGCCAACGACTTGGCAACATTTAGCAGGCAAATTACAACAAAATTAACATGATAATGAAGTGAACTCTGGTCTGAACAGGGCAAGGGGTGGAGAGGGGGGTGGTGAGGGGCGGGTATGGGTGTGTAAAAGGTTAAGAGAGCTGAAAACTGGCAGCTGTTTGCAGGCAGCTGACCAAATGACAATGACGTTGCCGCGTTGCCACAGACAGTGGCAGGAGAGAGAGAGAGAGAGAGAGAGAGAGAAGTGCTTAAAAAATAGAAATTACACAGAAAAATAAAGGACAAAAAGTGGGAGGACACACACACACACACAGACACACTAGCTATGCATGTGTGTGCCATAAAATACTTTTATATTTTTAATGATACTTGGATCCAAAAACGGTAGGGAAGTGTTTTGGTCTGCTGCACACACTCCTCCACTCCACTCCACTCCACACCACACCACTCCACACCCCCCTCCCTCCCCGTCTCTCTAGCAAGCAATGAACTTACCAGAGAAACCCCTTTGCCACGCCCCTCGTATATACACACATAAAATGCGGCTGTTAGTCAACTAGATGACTTTCAACTCTGTCTCGGGCTCTGTCTCTGGGTCTGCCCCTGTCTCTGCCTCTGTCCCTGGCTCTTGCAACATGAGGTTGTAGCTTTTTTGGGGTTCCCCTCCTCGTAGCAGGAACTGCCGGAAACGTTTTTACGGTTTGCAAAGGACATTTACATAGAGAGGGGGAGAGAGGGGAGTGCCCACCCCCCTCCGGGCCGAACATGCATATGCGTCTGTGTGTACATTAAATTTTATTATTGTCATTTTCCATGGACGAAGCGGACCTCTGCCCTCCTGGTCCCCCCCCCCCCCTCCACATAACTTTTTGGTCAGCAATATTTGCATAAGTGCATATGTATCTATGTGTGTGTGTGTGTGTGTGTGTGCTGGCAGCCCAAATTAGACCCAAACTGGAACTTTGTTTGGCCAGTTTTAATGCCAATGTGTCGCCGTAGTCGTCGTTGTCTGTGTGGCATTTTCATGTGTTGAAACATTTTCATAATTAGTCTCTTTTCAGTCTCCCTCTCTCACAGAGTAGCTTAGCATATTCAAAGATACGTTTAAAGGGCGGCAGAAAGCACCATTTGAAGGCTGATTGGGCGAGGGTTTTCTTTTGGGATGGGGGGAAATCTACTCCCAAGTTGCTGCTCCCCAATTCTTTTTAATGAGCTCCTGACAGCCGGTTGTCATACATCAAGTTCCCAAGTTGCCAGTCGCTTCTTTCGACCTTCTAAATGGCATTTCATTAGCCTTCCGGGCAGTCCCACTGGGTAGGCTCCCTTCAGTGCACAATGGGAAATGTTGCCACTTTTTGTGGTCAAAGGACTGTCAATAAATGTGGCTAAGTGTGAAACCTTCTGCTACAAAATATAGTTATCTTTGAGCTGAATATCGCGGAGATATCCTTGACTTTGACGCTACACAAAATCCTTCTTCATTGCAGGAGATACTCTAGAAAACACTGTGTTTTCTGTGGGTTATTTTGGAGACCAGGCTCCATCTACATCTACATCTTTAGGGGATGGTTGCTGGGACCATGGAAGCGGAGAACCTCCGCTGGAAACAGGTCCCAATTCTAATCTAAACCCCACAAATACCCATTATCTCCTCTACATGAAAAAGAAGTCCCTTCCAACTGAGTCTTAAGATCAGTTAGTTCCAGAGAATCTGTTCCAGGATTTGCCAGGCGATGGGAGCCGTCAGACGATTTGCTTACAGATTTCTTCCTTTTCAATGTATAATTTTCTTATTTTTTGTTATTATTTAAGATAGAAATGAGTGAGTTTAGCCAGTGAGTGATTCTGAATGGCGAATAATGAATAAATAATGTAGTTTCGATGAGCTTGCTTTCAATTTTCATCGAATATGGAGCCCGACAATGAAATCCTTGAGGATTAATAAAGGCTTTACAACAAGATTTGAATAATTTTGCACTACAGGTCTGATAATTGAAAGTTTCTTTAGGAAATTAAAGGCCCCATAAAATAAAATATAATTTTCCAAACATACACCCAAAATTTTTGCTTGGAAATATTTTTTTTATTTCCAAATTTTTGTTGGAAATTATTTGATTAATGCCACAAAAAGTGGCAACATAGTCCCATAGTGCAGTTTTAAAAGAAAATCATTTATTTTAAATTTAATACACTAAAACACACACACACACACACACGGACACGGACACAAAAGATACAAAGGAGAGAGGCGGCAAAAGAGAGTAAAAATACGCTTTAATTGGTTGGTTTTAGGTGCTGCCGCTGCCGCTGCCGCTGCTCCACCCCTGCCACATTAACCCATGCTGGCCGGTGGTCTTCCTTTTTTTTTTTGGAGCTCCCTTTTTCGTATATTGAAAAGCGCAAAGAAATCGCAGCTACCATCCATGGGGGTTTTCCTCCACTTTTTTTTTCGTGGCGTTGGTAGGAGGGGGGGGGGGGGAGTGAGGGAAATATAAACACAAACGCCCCCAAATCAGGCAGTGCCGGCCCCCACAGCTGCTGGCCTAGTTCCTGGCTTTTGTTTCACTCCGGACTTCAATTCCCCAGAACCACAGTGCGCCCCTCCTGTGAAAGGGGAGAGGGGGTGCGGGGGTGCGGGGCGGTGGACTGCTACTGGGGTCACAATGAATGCCGCAGCCCAGCGCGAGCGGCAGCTTTGTTTCAAATCAGCTCATTTTTGGTGGCCTGGACAGAGAAGAGGAGAAGGAGCAGGAGAAGGGGCAGGAGGAGGGGGAGGAGCAGAAGCGGGAGCCAACTGGCCAACACGGTGGCTACTGGCCAACTGGGAACTGGGTTCGTTTGTGGCCTGCTACCAGCTCCTCCTTTTTGGCCTCCTCCTTCTGCTGTGTGTGACCCACCAACGCCGCCATCAGAGCCATCAGAGGCATCAGAGGCATCAGGGGACAGCACGCACAGTTGGCAAGTTTCAAGAGGAGATTCGAGAGTGGTGTGGAGTGTAGTGGAGTCCCCTTTTCGCCTGCAATCCTCTCCTATGTGTGGGTGGGTGTGTTCTCTAGAGAATTTTATCATTTTTTATTACATTTCTCGAGAGCGCTATGTATGCAAATGAAGTCGAAAGTTTCGCATTGTATATACTTGCTCCCAGCTCCCAGTTCCCAGCTCCAAGCACCCTGCTCCCTGCTCCCCCTGGTAGTGGCACAGCTAGTT